ATGGCAGGAAGCCGGGTGCTGCAGTAGCTTCCTGTGTTTGGCTCGGCAACGCACGGGGGTCACTAATTATAACCGACGCCGTCCTTGTTCGTTCGCTCGCTCACCGAGACAAAGGGCCTCCCGGTTAGCCCGGCAGAGGCGGGCGCTGTTAGCGAGCGCCTATTAAACTCCTTGCACTGAGATGGTAATTGGGCCTGGCAAGCATTGCCGGGTGGATTGGGTCTTTGCTGTCACAATAACACATCTTCCCCTAATGCAATGGCCCACCAAACACCTCATAACTTTACTTTTAATATAAATTAGTTAAATTTATTGAAGGGTCTGTCTGATACTCAATAGCTACTATTAGTAGCCCAGTCCAAACAAGCAAACTAACAGACACACATACAGACACGACAAAGACCCCCCCCCCCCCCACATATAATCTGAATACACTTTTGGAGCAAGTGCTGTTAGCGAGCACCTATGAAGGCCGGTACGGCATACAAAGCGTGGGTGGCCAACACCACGCCGGGCTGCCTTTGTCTCCCGAATGGTGATGTTTATGCAATGCAACAGGTACTCATTTGAGGCTGAGTCGACCTAGGGCAGGCCCAGGACCGGTTCAAATAATCGTCACCGATTTTAGCCATGATCGGGAATCGAACCCCCGGGTCCCCGTGTTCGTAGCGAAGTGCGCTAACCACTGCACCACCACTCTCCACGCACACACAGAGACAAAAACACACAGACACACACGCACACAGAAATCGACGGGCATTCAAAAACGCATGCAAATTCGCATGACACATGGACGCGCGCACACACACACACACGCTAATTACGTAAGCATGCTACAGTGCTTACATTAACTTTATCCTTCGCCCCGAGTGCGTTCGAACGCACGGACTCGGCGCAAACCTTTAAGGGGACGTGGCGCGATGCCTCCCTCCCTCCCTCCCCCACGACTCTAAACCCTCCTTCAAGCCGGTGGTCACGGTCAAGGCCACGGAGGTCGAGTCGCTAAGCTTGCCAACTAACTTGGTGTGCCGTCCCCCACGGTGCAGCTTGGCAGAGCGATCTCCTGGGCGGCAGAGCGGCCGGCAGAGCGGCCGGCGGCGCGGTGGCGACGCTCGCCGCCCCACGGCAAGTACTGCCTGGGTTCGATTCCCGACTCGGGCGCCTTTCTGCGTGGAGTTTGTATGTTCTCTCTCTCCCCGTGTTCTGCATGGATTTTCCTTACGGGTTCTGCAGTTTCCTCCCATAGGTGTAAAAAAAAAGTACAATGTAACTGGCTTTGGCCAAAACATCCCAATGCTTAAACATTGCCTGCAAATTAGTCAATTGGGATTACACAAAGCAACGTCTCCCTCTCCATCCCCACCCATGACTGTGAAAAACTTGCAAGAGTTGAACCCGGGTTGCCGGGTTCGTAGCGTAGTGCACAACCACTGCACTCGCATACAAAGGCAAATATCCCCCATATAAGCCTTTAATCTACTTTTGGTGCAAATAATGTTAGCGAGCACCTATGAAGGCTGGCTTGGCACAAGAGGGGGTTGAGTGGTCAGCACCACGTCCGGCGGCCTTTGTCTCCCTCGTGTCAACGTTTACACATTGCACCGGGGGCTCATTTTAGGCTGAGTCGACCTAGGAGAAAATCGTCACGGTTTATTGGTCGTGAGCGAGAATCTAACTCGGGTCGCCGTGTTCGTAGCGCAGTGCGTCCCCCCCCCCATCCCCACCCGACTGCGAAAAACTTGCAAGGACCCTCATGAAAAAGAGCCTTGAGACTCGGCAAAGCTGCGGAATGATAATAACAATTAACAGGCCGCTGTAACATGGCAGGAGTTTCAGGGGGGGGCGACTTCCACGATTGAATAGAAAATGGAGACGCTGCATCGTCGCCCTGCCTCCACGGTAATTCACAAGGGTGACACAAACAAGCTCATACCGACAGCTCCTGTAGGCCTCGGCAAGGTAAGGTAAAAGGTAAAAGCAACGAGCCTACCTTTACCCTACCTTTTACCCTTAACTCATACAAATTACCCGATTACAGGGTAATTACTGGGGTACTACACATGAAAAAGGTTTATAACAGGTAAATGCTAGGTAGAGCGCTTTATTCATATAGAATACTCTCAATGACTCCAATTTTACACGCTTTCTTTTAACTCACTCTGTCTGTTGTTATTGTCGTTGTTGTATCCTCAAATCTTGTAACTAAATTTTAACCCATTTCCCAATGTGGTATCGACTGCAAACTTGGTATACTTATGTTATACTGATGACAATACTATATTCTATCATAAAAAATATATATATATTTTTAAACACTTTTTATATATTATGTTTCGGCTTGGGTCTAATTGCCCACTGTCAACTGACGTTGGCTATAATTGGCCACGGTCCCTTACGTTGTGGCAAGCTTCTGGGCCACTTCCTGGAGTCATGGAGTTCTGCCATTACTCGTACATTTTATAAAAGCCTTTTTTATATTACTTGTTAAATGGAGTCCACGGACTGCGCCACGGAGCTTTTAGCGGTAAACAAGGTACCGTATTTACCGGGTAATACTTCCGAGCTACCTTTACCCTACCCATAACCTTACCCCTTGGTATGTCGACACCTTTACTCTTTACCTTTACCCTTTTACCCAGTAAAAAGTGTAAATTACCTTACCTTGCCGAGGCCTAAGCTCCTGTGATAAGCCCTGCCGGGTTGTTAACGCGAAGTAAGTTCAAAATCAATAATTACGGTAATGCCACATTTTTACCCAGGAAAGCCTCGCCGAGTCTCCAGACTTTTTGTTGTTGTTGTTGTATCAGAAATGTTCCTGTAAACATTGCGATGTTTGGCCAACATGATTCATTACTATTTAGCTTCATGTGGGGGCCAACCGGAGGAAACCCACGACCTACGACTAGGGGGTGATGACACTCAGCAACGCCATCTTCTAGTCGCCTAGCAACCCACGCCTACCACACCACCCCAGGCAAGCCACGGTGGTCACCCAAACACTAACCAGGCTTAACTCTACTTATCTTCCAAGAACCAATTCAATTATTCCACCAACCAACCTTTTCACCGAACCTCGCGTTTCGCTGGCCAATATAGTAAAACCTTGGATTGCGAGCATAATTCGTTCCGGAAACGTGTTTATAATCCAAAGCACTCGTATATCAAAGCACTCGTATATCAGTTGTGTGATCACGTGACACTCGGCAGACAAAGCGTATGCGTACTACTCGTATTGCAAGACCCTCGCTTGTTTATCAAGTGAATATTTATTTTAAAAATTTGCTCGTCTTGCAAAACACTCACAGACCAAGTTACTCGCAATCCAAGGTCTTACTGTATCTTACATCGTACCCCCATCCCATGAAACCAGAAGGGTCGGTCTACATGAGAAACAAAATCAGCTGGTGTACCCCCTTATCATCACCACTGGCCATGATCCACTGATGGATGAAGTCCTCACCAAAGCCATCACGATCTCTCACGGCCTCACAACACAACAAACCATCTCGTGTGTGTCCTATCCTAGAAACAATGGGCAGTAGTGGCGCAGTGGTTAGCGCGCTGCGCTACGGACACCAGGCGGGAACCAGAGGTCGATTCCCCGCTCATGAAAAATAACAGTGGCGATGTGAGCAAGTCCTGGGCCTCCCCCTAGGTCCACTCAACTTTAAATGAGTACCTGGTATAGCGTGAAAAAACCTCAGCACTGGGGAGACAAAGGCGAATGGGCGTGGTGCTGGCCACCCCCACCCCCCTCGTGTGCCGTGCCGGCCTTCATAGGTGCTGCTACTCGCTAACAGCACTTGCCCCTACGAGTCTGTTGAAGGCTAAGCGGGTAGAGGCGGGGGGGCATCTCTGTCTTTATCCCGGCATAATCACGACGCGTGCGCGCATGCAGGGACACTCGCAGCCGACGTCGAGGCCCCCCGGGGTCACAAAACCACCGCGTTTAAAATTCAAACTCTGGAGAACTCTGCTGCCTCATGAGAAGCGCGTGTTCTCTTATCAGCTGATACAGCAACGCAACGCGGATTTACAGGCCACCAAGGGGCGGGGGGAACATGGCGGAGCGCTCGTGTATTCTCCTGCTCGTTGGAGAGAGAGTCGCGGTTCGAGCCCCACGACCGCCCGGTTAACGCTGCGACGGACGCATTCATGATGAGTACGTGCCGCCGTCTTCGCAGCGGAGGACGTCAACGATCCCGGGACTTTGCTCAAAGACGAGTAGGCCAAGCGTGTATCGGCTTCACGGTCCGAATTTGCCACGTTTGTAAACTTACTTGCAGATTACTCAAAACTATTTAAAAAAACTATATTTTTTTATAAGAATATAGGTTTTATCCTTTCTGGCAATAAAAGAGTTGTGTTAAGATGCTAAAACACCAAACAGAAACCTTTTACAAGGAATCCTATCTGCATTAACCACACGTACTCGTGGTGAACATGCAAACTAAAAACATGCTCTGATATTATAGTTTCTAAGACAATGCACAATATCAGATCATGGTTTTTTTTTGTTCGCATATTCGCCACAAAGTAGATGTGGTTAATGCGGACAGGATTCCTTGCAAAAGGTTTCTGTTTGGCGTTTTAACATCTTGACACCGCCTGTTTCATTGCCAGAAAGGGTAAAACCTATTCTTATACAGTAAAACCTTGGATTGCGAGCATAATTCGTTCCGGAAACGTGTTTGTAATCCAAAGCACTCGTATATCAGTTGTGATCACGTGACGCTCGGCAGACAAAGCGTGTACACGTACACTACTCGTATTGCAAGACCCTCGCTCGTTTATCAAATTCATATTTATTTACAAATTTTGCTCGTCTTGCAAAACACTCGCAGACCAAGTTACTCGCAATCCACAAGGGTTTACTCAGTATGTTGATACTGGCAAGAAAGGTCCTATGCTGCTTATTTTTTTTATTTTACTAGGCAAGGCCTGGGGGGAGGGGAGGGGTGGGGTGGGGTGGGGGCCACGGAGGGGGGGGGGCGTTGTACCTGCCCTGGTGGGATGTCCGCATGCCGTGGCCGACTGTGGGGCCCTGCCGTTGATAATCTCAACGCAGCTGCTGGGAAAGAATCCGACCTGCGGATGAAAAGCAACGGAGAGACGGGAGATGAGACGGGAGATGATGGGGGATGCGGGCAGCCAATCAGATTGGGCGTAAAAACAAGGGGCCTATGCGGGTCGGCATAATAAACAAAAACCCACGTACACACGCGCACACACACGCAGACACACGTACACCTACACGCGCACGCATACACACGCGCACGCATACACACACGCACGCACACACACGCACGCACACACACACGCACGCACACACGCGCGCACACACACACCTGCACACACGTGCGCACACACACACGTGCACACACGTGTACACACACACACGTGCACACACGTGCATACACACACACGCACGCACACACGCACGCACACACACAGACGCACACGCACGCACACACACAGAAGCACACGCATACACACACGCACGCACACACGCACGCACACACACGCACGCACACACGCGCACACGCACGCACGCACACACGCGCACACACGCGCACACACAGACGCACGCACGCACACACGCACACAGACGCACACACACACGCACGCACACACGCACGCATAAACAGACGCACGTACACACACACGCGCACGCACACACGCAGACACACGTACACCTACACGCGCACGCATACACACGCGCACGCATACACACACGCACGCACACACACGCACGCGCACACGCACGCGCACACACACGCACGCACACACACGCACACGCACACACGCGCACACGCACACACGCGCACACACGCGCACACACAGACGCACGCACGCACACACGCACACATACACAGACGCACACACACACGCACGCACGCACACACGCACGCATAAACAGACGCACGTACACACACACGCGCACGCACACACGCACACACACGCGCACACACATACACACACGCACGCACACACACACGAACGCACACACAGACGCACACGCACGCACACACACACGTACACACGCACGCACGCATCACGTGCACACTCGTTCACATACTAAAGGCAAAGATCACCCGTATAGCCTACACATACTATTGGGGCAAGTGCTGGCATAGCACACAAGGAGGTGGGTGGCCAGGACCACGTTCGGCCGCCTTTGTCTCCCCAGTGGCAATGTTGACACACCGCACCAGGTACTCATTTGAGGCTGAATCGACCTAGGGGAGGCCCAGGACCGGTTCAGATAATCGTCACTGGTGTTGGCCGTAAGCAGGAATCGAACTCTGGTCCCCGGCTTCGTAGCGCGGCGGCGCTAACCGCTACACTGCCGCTCCCCACGCATAGAGAAACACACATACACACGCACGCACACACAACACATACACACGGGCGCCGATGAACAGTAAACGGCCGTATGCATACGCACACACAGTATGACAGCTCCATCTGATAGCAAGAAAAATGTGCCAAACACCACATTTGCACAGACCTGCTGACACGCCGGCGCACAAAGGCACTCTCCCTCTTGCCTTGCAGATTGTAAGTAATGTTATTGTAACTTCTAAGGCAGGCACGGCACACGTGCGCGTTGACACGTACGCACATTTAATACACACCAATACATGCAGACAAGCGAACACACGCGCACACAAAGACAAATATCCCCAGGTGCAATCTCTTTTAACGGACTGCTGCGGGAAAGTGCTGTTCGCGAGCTGCTGCGAAGGCCAACACAGCGCACGTGGGGGTAGGTATGGCCAGCGCCACACCGCAGTTCACACACAGCAACCAGGTACTGATTTAAGGCCGAGTCAACCTAGGGGAGACAGAGAATCGGTTCAAATGTTCGCCACTCGTATTGGTCGTGAGCCGGAGAGGTGAACCCGGTTTTGCCGGGTTCGTAGCGTAGTGCACAACCACTGCACTCGCATACAAAGGCAAATATCCCCCATATAAGCCTTTAATATACTTTTGGGGCAAGTGCTGTTAACGAGCACCTATGCAGGCTGGCATGGCACAACAGGGGGTTGAGTGGTCAGCACCACGCCCGGCCACCTTTGTCTCCCTAGTGCTAACGTTTACACATTGCACCGGGTGCTCATTTTAGGCTGAGTCGACCTAGGAGAAGCTCAAGACCGGTTCAGAAAAATCGTCACGGTTTATTGGTCGTGAGCGGGAATCGAACTCGAATCGGTGTGTTCGTAGCGCAGTGTGCTAACCGCGCTACACTTTCGCGCACACACAGTGATGCACAAACACGCTCGTATACACACACACACACACACGCGTGCATCAAACGTCCCGCGCTGCGCCGTTAACCATCGCACCTGGAAGTCGTGTTTACCCCTCCACCATGTCGTGTCCTCCTTGGGAGGCATGTCCAGAACCGACACGAAATTCCCGACCTGACACAGACACGGGGGGCGGTCAGGGAGGAAGACATGGGGTCACAGGGGGTCCCAGGGGGTCATAGGCGGGACAAGGCGGCGATCAGACGCAATCAATTCGGCTGAGCGTGGGCCCACACGAGTGTCGGATGGGTTTTTTTGGTTGAAGTTACTTTGTATGCTTCCCAACTGTGGTTGAGAGTGTCGACACGTTAGCTCCGTCCTAGCTCCGCCCTAGCTCCGTCCTAGCTCCGTCCTAGCTCCGCCCTAGCTCCGTCCTATCTCTGCCCTAGCTCCGTCCTATCTCTGCCCTAGCTCCGTCCTATCTCTGCCCTAGCTCCGTCCTAGCTCTGTCCTATCTCCGCCCTATCTCCGTTCTATCTCCACCCTATCTCTGTCCTATCTCCGTTCTATCTCCGTCCGTCTGTAACGTGAGGGGGGAGGGCACGATGACTATCGTAGGGATGATCCAATATGAACGATTCTTTAGAATGATGTTCCGTAGGAATTAGGGGACTCACCCTATGGAAGATTTCATCAGAATCTATCCCCCAAGAGTTGCGAGGTGAAAACCAGCGCCAAAAGGATTCACAAAACCAGCGCCAAAAGGATTCACACGCCAAAAGGATTCACAAAACCAGCGTTACAAGTCAGCGCGGCGCCTCCCTTACCGACGACGTCGTTACATGCGACGTTATCTGGTGACGTCACACGTCATGCGCGTAATGTTGTCATCACCAATTACCAACAGCACCACTACCTGTACCCAAGACAAAGATCTCCTGTATACCCTTAACAGCCTGTTGGGGAAAGTGCTGTTAGCGAGCACCGATGACGGTCGGCACGACACACAAGGGAGTCGGGTTGTCAACACTACTCCTGGCCGCCTTTGTCTCCCCGGTGGTGATGTTTACACACCGAACCAGGTACTTCTTGGAGGCTGAGTCGACCTCGGGGAGGCCCACGACCGGTTCAGATAGTTGTCACTGGTGTTGGCCGTGAGTGGGACTCAAACTTGGGCCACCAGGTTCCGAGCGTACCGTGTTAAACACTGCACCCCCGATCCTCACGACAAATACCACCACCAAGGCCACAGGCATCATCATTAACATCACGAGTAGCACCACCACCACCACCAACGCCACTACCACGACCGCCATAACCATGACAATGACCGCCATCACCATCACTATTGCTCACCACTTCCTGCTATGGTCACTAAAATGATCACCATTATCGTCGCCACCAGAACTACCATGACCACCATCGTCACAACCATCACCAGCACCATCACCACCACTTCTACCTGCCTCCTCCTACCAAACACAATATCAATAATCACCATCATTATCATCTCTATCACCATCTTCACCACTACCACCACAACCATCACACACCTCCTGCCACAGTCAAGAAAATAATCACATCATCATCTCTAACACAATCTTCACTGCTATCACCATCAATCATCATCCCTCCGAGGGTCACTAAAATGAGCAAGCGCCTTGTGTCGCTCCACCGCTTCGCATGACGAAGTGAACAGGAGTGCCCATCCTGCAGATGAGGGGGCGTGGGGGGGGGGTTGATTTATAGTTTTTGTTTTAAACTAAACAAAGGTTAAGTGCCGGCGGTGGTGGTGCGTGTGCTCTCTCAGTCATGAACACGGCAGGGAGAAATTCGCCGACAAAAGCTGCAAGAGACTTCCTGGCGTCCCGGCCCAAGTGAGAGGCGGGCTGCCAAGCTAATTATATCCACGGCCGGCACGGGAGAACAACATACAATGCAATATGTACTTGCGTTAGAGCAGTGGTTCTCAACCAGGGGGTACGTGGCAGTGTCCCAAGGGGGTACACCGCGAGGCGATTTATAAACGCGTGAGATTATATCATGCGTGAGAGTCGTCGGTGAATAATTGCGTATGAATCTGCCCTTATAAAATAACTACGATAGCATTTAAATCAGTATGGTAACCTAGAACAATATAAAAGACCTTCCTAAACTCATGGTTACGTCCACAACGCGGTTTGCAAGAGTAATCACCGAGCACGAACAAATGACGTCACGCGTGCAAGGCGCCCGTTATTCGCTCGCAGTTACTCGCGAGTAGGGATACCTCGCCAAATGGACAATTGCTTAAAATATTGATGTTCATTTTTCGTACATTTATTTCTCAGAACCATGTTGGGTCAAGGCAAGGAGGGGGGGGGGGTTCCTCGATTGAAACAAAATTCAACAAGGGGGTTACAGCAGCCAAAAAAAGGTTGAGAAACCACTGTGTTAGAGCCCCGGCTCCCTTCAACAGAACAAGGTAAGAGCTGATTTAATGCTTTCGTGACTGCAGGGATTCATGTTCTTGGTTCTTTCGGTAAAGTCACGTAGAAGGGAAACAAAATAATAGAAATATATTATTTTATTGTTTCCCTTCTACGTGACTTTACCGAAAGAACCAAGAATATAAGGTAAGAGCTTCCGCTACGTTCAAGTTCACTCTGATAACTAGCGGTCACGTGACGAACGTCACCGTTGGTGACGTGAACCGTGGAGCGCGGGAAAATTATTTCAATTCTGTCGCTCGTCCACACAAAGGCATCGGCCGAGTCCAAAACGGCGACTAAAACGGTCAAGGCGCCACCACTGTCCTACGATTGCCGTCTCACAGCCACTGCTGCAGGCCTCCACTAGAGGGAGCCCTGCAGGTGCGCGCGTCCACACACCCAGTGGGGATGAAGAGGCCATTCAAGCGACGCAGCAGCGACTCTGCCGTGTCCATTCCCGAGGCCGTTCTCCGATGTCACACTGGCTCGCTGCCACAGTTCCGACCGAGAAGGTCTTCAACTCATGACGCTGACAACGGCGGCGAGCTTTAAGAAAGCAAGGCCACAGCACCGACGTCTCAAGGCGTTCCTTTCAGGAGGGTGGTAAATGTGATTGTTTGGCCAATTCTATACTGCAAGCACAGAACTGCAGGTCACATCACTTCTTATTACTCCTTCCCTCGCATTGCCCGATGTTTTGGGATTCCCTCCCTATCATCTCTTTTCCCAAGCCCTGATATCTTTGCTAAATATAAGACGCGCGTTAACCCCTATCCGTCATACCCACCATGGCACTGGTTGTTGCTGGTTGCTTGCCATTTTGGACCTTGTGGGTCTGTGGGCCTGTGAGTCTGTGGGCCTGTGGGTCTGTGGGCCTGTGAGTCTGTGGGTCTGTGGGTCTGTGAGTCTGTGGGTCTGTGGGTCTGTGGGCCTGTGGGTCTGTGAGTCTGTGGGTCTGTGGGTCTGTGAGTCTGTGAGCCTTCATTCCTCCACATTGCTCCTTCATGCTCATTATCTCTCGCCGCTTCGCCGTCGCTCTTTCCGTACCAAATCACTGCTGTTCAAGGCGGCGACCGTGACCGAGAGAAAACAAAAAATCTCGGACGGAGCAACGACGCCCTCCACGCACGCACGCACGCAGGCAGGCAGGCGCGTGCGTGCGTCCGCGAGGACAAACATGCCTCACAGGCAACACCCCTGGGGCTCGTGTACAGTTACTCACGCACGCAACGCGACGCTGGCGGACGTAACGCACGTACGCCAGCCACAGCGGGCGACCCGGGGTGGGGGGTACGTGTGATGTACTACGCGCCAGTTTAACACGTAAGGCTTTCGCGACCAATATCATCCATGATATAGGTATTTTTTTGGGTTAGATCGCATAAATATAAATGTGTCGTTAAACCCGACACCACCCGACACAGACAATTATTAAAGTTTGTCACTTAAACAGAGCATGCCAATTCGTTACTCGTACAGCACACCGGTGTGTTGGAGAGCAAATCCACAACATTTATAATCTGAGTACGACGTTTCGCCGGTAATAACAACTGGCTGTCCGCCCTGATGATGCTAAGCTGTATTAAAAATATATATTTTATACAGCGTACATATACAGTAGAGCCAATGACCAGTTTTGGTCTCCCGCAGTCCACTGCAGTCTCTAACAACCCGTTACCAAATCATCCCAGTCTGCGTCTTGATTCGGACGAGAGAATTTGGTGGTAGCCAGAGTCTGCGTCTTCGCTCGGACGAGAGAATTTGGTGGTAGCCGTTGCGTGCCGATCGCCGGCGCTGCGCTCACCTCGAAAGAGAGCTCGTCGGGCGCCTGTGCGGTGTAGCGCCTGACGACCTGCGCCGCCGCGATCGCCGGCACGTTGAAGGACGCCTCCTCGCTCACCAGCAGCCGGTGGCCGTGATTGTCCACCTGGCGGGAGCGAGCGGGAGCGCAGTACGGTGGTCACCGCCATCGTCATCGTCATCGCCATCACCATCGCCGTCGTCATCATCGCCGTCGTTGTATTCATTAGCGTAATCATCATCGAAATCATCGTGGTCATCGTAGTCATCATCAACATTGTAATCATCATTGTAATCATCATAATCATAGCCATGCATAATCAATTCCACAAAGTTTGTACCCAACTACCATATACCCGCTCAGCAATTGTAAATCCCGTTTTCCGTTCTTGGAGTATAACCTTAACTAGAGCTTAACGTGATGTTTGGAACATCATTGTTTAATAATTCCGCGACACACTATATAACCCCTTACCACAGCATCTCTCCCACCTCAGCTAAAAAATGTTCTTGCTGTAGTTTTTCACACCTGATGATGATTGCTTGTGTTGCAATCAAAACGTCTTGATTTAATTTATGTTATATTTTATACGTGACTTTACCGAAAGAACCAAAGAGTATACACATTAGAGGGTCTCAATTGTCGTAGCAACCTCAACGCTGTCAGAAAAAAAAGTTAAATGCACAACTTCGCCCGACAGTCAATGCAGTTCACGTGTTTGAGGAGTGACATGATATCATCATCAGCATCATCATCATAAGCCATGATCAATCCACTTGCTGGGTGAAGGCCACCCCCAAGCCATGGCGATGCCAGACTGTCATCCGATACAACAATCCCCCGCTATCTCCCGCGCACACACAAGCCGACCAAGTCATTCCATCTCCGCAGTGGACGACCTCTCGGGCACATTCCCTCCTCTGAATGCAACCGTAGTTCGCCTCGACCCACGCCCACCGTCCCTTCCCGACACCGTGATGGAGCGCAAACGTATACTTGTACGGCCCTCTGTAAATCCACCGCTGGATGATAATTATGATGAATATGACATTTATGAAGACGATGATGATGATGTTTATTATGATGATAATTATGATGAATATGACATTTACGAAGACGACGTTCGACGACGTTCTCACCTCCATCCACGTGAGGACGGGTCCGCAGTTGAGTCTGTCGTCGGTGATGCAGGAGAGGTGCGTGAGGTATTCCGACAGCGTCTGCGCCACCGCCTGCAAACCGGCGCACAGCCACCAGCGCGCGACCATTATTCAACAACTCAACGCGTCATGCACCTAGCCCGTTATGACTCTCAGAGTGCTGTTCGTAACCGGCCGCTTAACGTTTTGAGGCTTTGTTTTTTTAGAGGCCCTGTGCTCAGCAGCCGTGATATTAAAGAGGAACCCGTCACGAGCAGCGTCCGGCGCAGTTGCTTAATAAACATAATCGGTGACGGGATGACAAGGCGGACGCGGCCATTTCTGCCGGCCAATCCACCCCCCCTCGCTCGTGCGCCGTGCCGGCTTTCGCAGGCGCCACTCGCTAACGGCGCTCGGAACCCGCCCCCAGCAGCCCATCACAGAGGCCGCACGGGGGACCGCCTATCGTCGCTGTGCGGCGTAGACGACGCCGTGCGCGGCGCGCTTGCCTCGCTGCCCTCCTGGTTGCCCTCTCTGCATGGCAGCAGCTCGGGCAGCTGGCTGTAGCGACGGTCGTAGATGCACAGGTGGAGGTGTTTGTCCAGGATGCGGAAATCCTCGTAGCTTCGCCACACGAGCCAGCTCTTGCCCTGCGCCCGGGGAAGGGGCGGGGGAGGGGGTGACATGTAACGATATGTTAACGATAATAACAATAATAATGTTTAGTGTTGTAGAGTGTCGTCATTCATGCAAACTGTACCTCTCCCAATTGCTGAGGGACCAGAGACAAATGGGAAGGCAGCAACGGCAGCAGCCAGGCCCATGAGGGGCGCTATTAACAGTTGCCCCAGCTCTGCGGTTCTCTATATACTAAGATGTTTTCAGCAAATCAATGAGTGTTTATATCGGTCCAAGGAAACCGGAGCAGCCGGAGAAAATGCCCGCGTACGAGAGGGGAAACACTCGATCCCATAGAGAGAGCGATCGATGATATGAGTCCACACTTTGCTGGCATGTTATTTCTTTAAGTCATGGGTCTTTATCAAGAGGTTCAATACTCCACACGCAATACAAACATTTGCTGCCACCAACTTTACAGGGAAGCCAACAATCTACTAAATTAATATTTGGAAAATAATGTCAATAATCAGCATTTAAGGCTTACAAATTTGGCCGATGTTGAAATACTGCTGTCACATCTGCAGTGAAGCAGGTGTGACAGAAGTATAGTTTAATGCGAGCAATATAGAGCAACCAGGTTCAGTCTATGGGTCTCTATGTGAGTCTGTGGCTCTCTATGTGAGTCTATGGGTCTTTTGGTAGGTCTATGAGTCTCTGTGAGTCTCTGTAAGTCTGCGGACTATTTGCTAGCCAACGCGTCTCTCTATGCGAGTCTATGGGTCTCTACGCGAGAAGGCGCAGATGATGAATCTCGATTGAAAACGAATTTCTTTGCAGCTGCTTTTTGCGTTTAGTTTATTGTCCTTCCCCCACACCTGCGATTAGCACGGTTGGCTACGTACGGCGCGAAATAAATTTAACACACACACATACATACGAGCCACTGTCATCACAATTTCCACACGCGTCCACAACCTGACACTCTACCCCCTCCCCCACCAGGTGGCTTCTGTAGCCTCCTGAGCTGAAGTTACGAGCCGCCACCAGCCGTGAAGGCCCTCCCTCGTAGGGAACGTCAGGCCATCATGGCGTCTCCTCTCTCTCTCTCTCTTCCTCTCTCTCGCATTGCGATTTAAGCCGCGCGTGTGATTCACGCCGCGAGTATGATTTACAAATTCCGTCACTTCCCACGTCGCAGGCTCGCTCGATGAATCATTGCAATAACAGCGGGGATATTTTTTTTGTTTTAACCCTCTTCTCTCTCCCTGGCCAAGACGAGAAATAAAATCTGAACGTTACAGCCACCATATTCTTGGTTCTTTCGGTAAAGTCACGTAGAAGGGAAACAATAAAATAATAAAAATATAAAACAATAAAATTCTCACGACGTTTCGACTGCAACACAAGCAATCATCATCAGGTGTGAAAACCACAACAACACCTGATGATGATTGCTTGTGTTGCAGTCGAAACGTCGTGAGAATTTTATTGTTTTATATTTTTATTATTTTATTGTTTCCCTTCTACGTGACTTTACCGAAAGAACCAAGAATATGTTACAGCCACCGTCGTAAAAACTCAAATCAATAACCGTACGCGCTTATGTATTATCCGCACCTCAGATTACCAAGGATGGCTATGTATGGTGTGCGAAATAAGTTAATACATATTCGTGGTGATGCACATATAATACATATGTATATTATGTAGCGCTCAATGTGGACAAGCCTATCCTGGAGGCCTGGATAGGCCCATTGAGGGATTAGCGACTAACACTCGTACTTAGACACCACGCTCGTAACTCTCGATGAGCTCTGGCAATGGGGGAGAGGGATGGCCCAGATACAACAAAACCAAGGATAACGCAAGACGTGCATGATTTAGGCTTTAAAACCACTCATTTATTTCGTGTTTACCTACGCAGAATGGTGGCGCAGATGTAGAATGCGTCGTCTGATTTCATTGCCTCCTCCCGAAGTAATCGGTTGACTTGCCGACGTGCTTGCAGTCACGTGGTCATTGAGTCACTTACCCTCGGATGCGTGGAGAGGCCAGGTGCATCCAAAAATAATTCCAGCTATTTCATCGCAAGTGCGGCTATTCTGCAACCTGCACGCCTGAGAGTTACCTGTGGACAATCGTCCGTGATTCAGCGGGGCCTCCTCGTAAGCTGATGGACTAACCCTTTGCTAGATTTTAACCTGGCTCACGTATTCTTACCTACAACCCACCGGCAGAGCGAACGGACACAACGGTTGCGATCGGATCGTCAACACCAAGTCAGCGGAACAAAATCATGAAGAGGTGCGCAAAGGTTCGCCGAGAGAGACAATGCTTGGAATTACGACGAGAGACGGGAAGAGGGGAAGAGGAAGACGCGGATGAGAGAGCACGTGTAAAGTAGAGACGTGGCACAGGCTGCGAAGAGAAGAAAAAGGTCGGCCAGGGACGGACGCGTCGCCCGACAGGACGACAGCCGGTGGGGCGAAACTAACGATGGAGTAGCAGCCAGAGGAGTGAAAACACGGCCTTAGAGGACGTCAATCGGAGAGAGATGGAGCGGTGAAGTTAGCTCATGTGCAGGTAAGCGTGTACATTTGGTAATCGAGGCATTCTTACAGCACAGAGGCTACCAGAGATGCACTATGTTCATGCTATGTTTACTATATTTACACTACGTTGACTACATTTACTACGTTTACGCTATGTTTACTACGTTTAATGTTTGCACTGTTTACTATATTTACACGATGTTTATGCTATGTTTATTGTGTTTACTATGTTTACTATGTTAATGCTATGTTTACCTTGTTCACTAGATTCACACTAGGTTTAATATATTCACACTAGGTTTAATATATTCACACTAGGTTTAATATATTCATGCTGTTTACTGTGTTTACGTTATGTTTACTATGTTAATGCTATGTTTACCTTGTTCACTATATTCACGCTAGGTTTAATATATTCACACTAGGTTTAATATATTCACGCTATGTTTACGCTATGTTTACTATGTTAATGCTATGTTTACTATGTTAATGCTATGTTTACCTTGTTCACTATATTCACGCTAGGTTTAATATATTCACACTAGGTTGAATATATTCACGCTATGTTTACGCTATGTTTACTATGTTAATGCTATGTTTACCTTGTTTACTAGATTCACACTAGGTTTAATATATTCACACTATGTTTAATATATTCACGCTATGTTTACTATGTTTACGCTATGTTTACTATGTTAATGCTATGTTTACCTTGTTCACTATATTCACGCTAGGTTTAATATATTCACGCTATGTTTAATATATTCACACTATGTTTACTATGTTAATGCTATGTTTACCTTGTTTAATATATTCACGCTATGTTTACTATAGTCACGCTATGTTTACTATGTTAATGCTATGTTTACCTTGTTCACTATATTCACACTAGGTTTAATATATTCACACTAGGTTTAATATATTCACGCTATGTTTACTATGCTAATGCTATGTTTACCTTGTTTACTATATTCACGCTATGTTTACTAGATTCACGCTATGTTTACTATATTCACGCTATGTTTAATATATTCACGCTATGTTTAATATATTCACGCTATGTTTACTATGTTAATGCTATGTTTACCTTGTTTACTATATTCACGCTATGTTTACCTTGTTTACTAGATTCACACTATGTTTAATATATTCACGCTATGTTTACGCTATGTTTACTATGTTAATGCTATGTTTACCTTGTTTACTATAGTCACGCTATGTTTACTATGTTAATGCTATGTTTACCTTGTTTACTATATTCACGCTATGTTTACCTTGTTTACTATAGTCACGCTATGTTTACTATGTTAATGCTATGTTTACCTTGTTTACTATATTCACGCTATGTTTACCTTGTTTACTATAGTCACGCTATGTTTACTATATTCACGCTATGTTTAATATATTCACGCTGTTTACTATGTTAATGCTATGTTTACCTTGTTTACTATAGTCATACTAGGTTTATTATATTCATGCTATGTTTACTATGTTTACGCTATGTTTACTATGTTAATGCTATGTTTACCTTGTTTACTATATTCACGCTATATTTACTATATTCACGCTATGTTTACTATTTTAATGCTATGTTTACCTTGTTCACTATATTCACGCTATGTTTAATATATTCACACTATGTTTACTATGTTTACAACTTGAGTTCGCAGCAGAGCCGTTAAATTGAGGACATTCACCGGCAACGAGTCCCGCGTACAGCAAAAGACCGTGACAGTTGGGCGAGGGCCTGAGAAGGCCTTCCTCCAGCAGTGGATAGATCGCGGCTAATGATGATCCACATCACGATCATCATCATCATCATAATAGTAATCACCATCATCACTGTCATGCGCAAGGCTAAGTGATCCCCTCTGGCCACAAATCGCCGCCTCGCCCGATTTTACCTGTCCCTCGTGAGGCCGCGCTCGTTCCCCGGCCGCTGCGTCACCCCCGCGGGTTTCCCGCGGTGAAACATTTCACGGGGCGCCGAGACATTTCCTCCAAATTCCTTCCACGTCGCGTCGCATTCCGTCGCTCGCTCGAGCAGCTGGAGCTCACGCCGCAACGCCTGCGGCCCGTTACGTCGGCGGCCGCTTTGGATTTTTTTATTTTTTTTGAAGAATCGTCCGACACCGGCGCGTGAAGAAGGAGCTTGTCCGGGTAGCGCGCAGCTCTTAAGCGCGAGCCGATGAGCACGCTGGAATATCCGGGCGCAGCCGGTAAATTAAAGAGACTTCGCATCAAACCCTCGCATCGACCCTCGCCGGCGACGGTTTGCCCCGGTGAGCACAAGTTAGCGTGGGGGGGGGGGGGGGGAATGTAATCGCCCACCGAGTGCGTATGTACGTACGTACACAAACGTACGTAAACGTACGTGCAGCGTGTGCACACCGGTGCGTAGGAAAGCGTGTGACCGAGCCAGCGAGCGAGTGAGCCCGGTGAATGGAGAAAGTGGAAAGAAAAAAAATAAACAAAAAATAATTGTAAAAAATAAAAACTGGCAGAAAACAGGCAATCACTTCCAGATGTGTCGGCACTCCCTCCTACTTCCTCTGTGTGCGCGTTACAATTACAGCGTCACGAGGGGCCGCCGCCTGGTGCTGCCTCTCTTCAACACGCCGTGTGGAGCAATGGCCAAAGCTCAACACAAAAACACACAACACACAACAACGAAAACACAACAACACAGCTCGGAACAAAGACTGTGGTCGAGCGCACGAGCTTTACTCGTGGGCGGCGGAAACGCTGGGTTGCGTTCGGCCACAGGGTCGTGGGGTTCTGGGGTCGTGGGGTCGTGGGGTCATGGGGTCGTGGGGCCTCACCTGGCAGTGAATCTGCACAAGGAAGCTGGGCTCAACCCTCGGCTCCGTCCCATTCTTGCCAAAGTCGGAGTGGTCCTCAGCTAGGCACAGCTGGGAAGGAGAGGGCAGTGGTGAGAGGGCGGTGGTGAGAAGGGAGTGATGAGAGGCCATTGGTGAGATGGGGTTGGAAGGGCGGTGGTGAGGGGCGGTGGTGAGGGGCGGATGGTGAGGGCCGTGATGTGAGAGCTGTTTCGGGAATATCCCGGAACAAGGCCGGTTTTTGACGCTTTTCAGGAAACGAAGGGTTGGAATGTTTGGGCGGTGGGAGGGAGAATGGTTGGACTTTCTCTTTTCTCCTCCCAGGCTCTCGTTTTATCCATTTCTCTAAATCTGTCTTTTTTAAAACGTACTATTATTATACAGATATGTTTTTTTTGCCTGCGTTTGCCATCTAAGCAACACAAACCATGCTGGTAATTTCTCGCACTTCCGATTCGCGCGGTTGGCTACGTACGAAAGAGGTTCAGCTAAATTTCGATTTTAACATCTGTACCCACTTCATTGCCTTAGTCAAATGACTGCTGGAGACATCAGTTTATCGTTGCGCAAACGGGTGAAATGCATTTATTTAGTTCCCGATTAACATAACATTGGACGTGATGGTAGCCGAAACCAAATACATATTTTTCCTATTTCTTTTTCAATTTTTTGTGTATGAGACACATGTGTGGTTTGTTAGGGGCTAAGAAGCCGGCTCGGCTTGGGCTGCGAGTAGGCCCTGGGAGGAGGTCACTTGAGGCTCCTGGTTTCGGGTAACTCTGAGTGTGGGCCTCAAGAGCAGTGAAAGAGACAAGAGGACACACGGAGACACAGACACGAGAGACAGAGACACAGAGAAAGGCACAGAAGAGATACAAACAGACGGAGACACGGTGATAGAGAGAGGCGAAGATGAAGAAATATACAGAGAAACAGGGAGAGGCTCGCACAAAGAGATACACAGAGGATACACTGAAACACGCAGACACACATGCCCATACATAGACACAGACATACGAAGAGAGCCACAGAGATAGAGAGAACCACACAAAGAGACGCACACAGGGAGACATGCCGAGGGACACGGAGACACATAGTAAACAGAGAAAGACGCGCACAGAGGCGAGAAAGAAGAAACGATAGCCGCCGGTCGAGACCGACAAAGAGGATTGCACAACGCAGACACGCAGAGGTTCCAATCAGCTCATGGGAGACGGTGACGGCACGAGGGAGACGGTGACGGCATGGGGGTGGCATTCAGCAGTGGATCGATCATGGCTGCTGCTGCTGCTGTTGTTGTTGATGATGTTGGTGAGGATGGCGCTACGGGACAATGGGGGCGGCAGTGCACCTGGATGCTGTCGAAGTCCACGTTGTCGTAGTGAAAGTGGGCGCAGTCGGCCAGGCGGGGGAAGTGGCCCTTGGTGACGGAGATCCTGGTGGGGGGGAGAGTGGGGGGGAGAGAACGGCGCCGTCGCTCAGCCACTCGCTCGAAAACGGCAAAACCGGTGACCGCGCGCCTCCTCTGAGAGTTTGCATTTCATGAACGCGTGTAGCAGCAGCAGCAGCAACAACAACGACAAAAATACACATCCAAGCATCACGTTCACCGCGTGCTTGCCAAGCCCAATTTATTTTCTTACCAAGACGAAGATTCCCCCCCCCCCCCTCCCCCCCCACGGTATAGCCTTAACGGGCGGTAGGGTAAAGTTCTGTTCGCGAGTTGCACCTACGAAGGCCGGCATGGTGCACGAGGGGGGGGTGGGTGGCCAGCACCACGCCCGGCCGCCTTTGTCTTCCCAGTGGTTATGTTTACACACCGCACCGGATACTCGTTTTCAGGCTGAGCCGACCTAGGGGAGGCCCAGGACCAGATAATCGTCACCGGTGTTGGCCGCGAGCGGGAATCGAACTATGGGTCGGACCTATTCTGGGCCGAGGATGTTCACGCCAACGCGAGGCGCTCACTTTTTGAGGTTTGTCACTCTCATGCTGGCGTTGCTGGCACAGGACCTGGCGAGGCCCTCTCCCACCGTGTCCGATCCGTCGTCAGTTTTGGCCTGGAGGTGGAGGGAGGGGGGGGGGGGGAGAAAGAAATTGGTCAACCCGGGAACGTGCCGCACGTCACGGAGCGGAGGCGATGTCGACGGGAGGCAACACAGCGTGCCCGCCGCTCGGAGCCTGGTGCACACCTCCACCGCGCAAATTGTTTATACCGCCACGGTGGCTAGGAGATGTTATCTCTCTCGCCCGGTACACGGGAGGTCGTGGGTTCGATCGCAACCCTGATGCCTGTATATTTGGAGTTTGCATGTTCTCTCTCCCCGGAGTCGTGTGGATTTTTCTCCAGGTGCTCCGGTTTTTCCCTCCACATTAAGAATCAACATCACGCGTTTAGAGTATGTGGCGACTGCTATGCATTTCCACGTGATGGAAAGCCACTTCGTTGAGCGATCGTTTGTGATGGCCAGGTCGCTTTTGAAAAAGAGCTGTATAGCTCAGTGAGCTTTACCAGGTAAAATACAAATACCTTATAGTCTAAGTATAGTATTTTTATACAAAACAGGCATGCAGTGACGTAGCTTTTACTTTATACATTGTGCCGTAGGTCTCTTGTAACCGCGTGCGTTGATCGCCACGACGAGATTCAGTGTCTGACAAAGCCCCCCGGCGAACGGAACAAAGCGTCGGACTTCTTCAAAATTAACTTCCTGAAGCTGCTTCCAGCAAGCGGAGCAAACCGTCGGGACACCGTGCCGAGAAAATCACGCGGCACAACACAAGAGCGCGTTTTATTCTTTTTCTGAAGTTCTCATCCAGGAACGATGGCGGCGCTCTGTCCCGCGGTGGCCTCCCCCCCCCCCCTTCCCCAACCCCGAGCCCCACGCATCGCGCCGAAGAATTCGCACCTGCCACGGCGTGCCCGGTAAAACCGCGCCACCGCCAGCCGCCGTTGCAAGCCACGGCACGTGCACGCGCATTCCTGGCGAACGTGAACGAGTGTCATCATCCATCGTCTTCCTCCCCCATTCTCTCCCCCACCGCCACCCTCTGCCACCACTCGGCCGTTTAGTTTTGCTGAAAATGATTTTTATATTTTGAGCTTTTTGTTTGTAATCCTCCCACGGCAGGGATGCCATCGTGCTGCAACGGTGAGCACGCTTGGACTTGCATTCCAGAGGTCGCCCGTTCGATTCAACCCCCCGGCGGTATAAACGGCAACGCCCACGGTCAATCGACCGGCAGATCACGTGTGGGTAAGCTCCCACCTCGTCCAATAAGCCTGAACAGCGTAAATGGGCAGGCCAAAAAAATACCCTCACCACAGGGGTGCTCGAGAACGTCCCCGAGCGAAGATCCTTCCGCCAACAGCAGCGCGAGGGCGAAATTGCAGGGCCGCCACCCTTCCTTTGAGTTTTACTTTCCCAAACCCACGAGCCTCTTCGACCCCGCATGCTCACGCTCCGCTTTGAAGTGGCACAAAACACGCAAAACCATCATCAGCGGTGCGGGCGGAAACCCGTCGCCCGCCCGCTCGCTCGTCCGCCCGCCCGCTCGCCCGTCGGCGGAACGACTCTTGAGATTACGGCCACACATCACGTCCTGTTTGCCGAGCGGTGCCGAGCGAGCAAGCGGCGATTTCCCGTCCTCGGCGAGCGCGCCGGAGGTTTATTTTTGCGGCGGGGTTTGTCCGCACGATTTTTTTGCTTTTCCCCACGGCCGCTTTCCTGACGGCCGACCGCTCGCCGTCACCGCGGATTCACGGCGAGATTCGGGGGACAGGCGAGACGGCGCGGCGTGTCGTTGCGGTTTACAGTTGCCCATGTGACCCCCTCCCCCCAGACTCTGTTGTGAAGGGGTGCTTGCCGGTGACGTGTGCAATTAAATGGCCGCCGCCCCGCGGTAGTTGGCTCGGTTGGTTATGCGACCAGTTTGCCAAAGATCCATGGGGGAGTGGTACGTTGGAGAGGTAAGTCGAACCGACGGGGCGAAGGAATGAAGAATTAAGGAAAGGAACAGCGGTCACCGATGATGATGATGATGCTGCTGTTAAAGCAGAAGGAATCGAGTCGGAATTGGAATGTCATGAGAACAACTGATGAGAGATGGAGACCAAGAGGAGGGAAGAGAGCGGAAGGGACGGCAGCAGCAGCAGCGAGGCGACATCACAGAGCTCAGAGTTCGGAGTTCGGAGGCCGCGGATGGACAGGGGCAACTTGGGGAAAGGAGTAATGGAAGAGAATGGGGGAGGCCTTTGCTCAGCAGTGGGAAGTTCCAGGTTGACAACAACAACAATCACTGCCTACAGCCAGCAATAAAGTTGCCGTGGATTTTTTTCTTACAGATTTGCTGGCAGTTGCCTGGATTCGGAAGCATGTGACTTGTAGGTAGCGCCACAGCGAGAGGTACACTGGATGTGGCGTGCCAGATGCAGACATATTTCAGTCCTGGGAATGAAATCGGTGTGGGTCGGTGAAGCAAATGTTGGCCGTGGCCGGGAATTGAACTCGGGTGGCCGCGTCAGAGCACAGTGTGACAATTCACCCAAGAACTTTGTAACCGAGTGAAGCGTCATTGAGAGGCGCACGCTTGGAATTGACACCGAGAGACAGGAAGAGGAGCAAACGGTTTGAGAACACGCGCAACTGGTCAACGACGTCATTCAAAGTGTTCATAGAATTGAGCGGGATGCCTGGGGGCAGGGCTCGTCGCCAGGAGTGATTGACGGCATACAATCCAGAATAATGACGGATCGGCAGCCAAGGAACGGGACGCGTCCGAGAGCGCGTCCTCCGCGGAGACGGAGCGATGAAATCAAGCTCGCGCGCATGCACTCGTGCGGCACTCTACCGCAGAATAGTAACGTTGTGGCGGCTTGGGGGAGGAGCCTTGATCCAGCAGTGGACAGCACGGCTGATGATGAGATGACGACGACGATTAAATCCGATCAGAGACAAAAGCTCCTGCCGCCCCCCCCCCCCCCTTTGACAAGAAGGGAGGGAGACGAGGACTGAACAAACTGGACACAAACGCACGAGCCCAATCACGAGCACAATTTCCCGGGCAATCTCCCCGAGCCCATTCTCTCGGCGAGCTCTCGCTGCGCCGCGTACAGTGCGAGCCACCGGGCCTGAATGTTAAGCGGACGAGGTCCATTGAGGCAGAGGCGGCTCGCGTAGAGGAGGATGGGGGGGGGTGTGAGAGAGAGAGAGAGCACGGTGACGAATGTGGGAGTGCGGGCGAGCGGGCGGGTGTCATCCGCCCGCTCGCTCTGCTGAATCACCAGCGAGCGATGACGCCATCTGTCATCGTCTCCCTCTCTCCCGCTCTCTCTTCTCTCCCGCTGCGTATTCGCGCCGCGCCGCGTCCTGTTCGGCATGGAGCTGCCTCGGCGTCGTGGTTGGCACGCCGAGTGTGCGATACCGAGGTCGCCGGTTCGATTCCATCTCGCGTTCGCGGCAGTTGAAACGGTGGCTGCAAGTTTCTTAAACCACACACCACCCAGCAGTATAAACGGATTCCTCACAGTTGGTCTATGAGTGGCAGACCGCACGTGGTGGGGTAAAGCGTGGGTACTCCCATCTCTTCCAAGATGTGTGACCAGCGAGGGAAAAGAAGGCCCAAAACGCCCTCGAGAGAAGGGATCCCTCCCGGAGCTCTCTCGAGCGTTGATCGGCACGCATGACACACGGGAAGCTCCCAGCATGAACCAGCGGGCCCACGGCACGACCCGAAAATACGCGGCAGGCGAGCCGCACGGCACAGAGCGGCCGGAACGCCGACACGGCGAGGATTCATTCTCACAGCCACCCGCGTCAAGCGGCCCAGGCTTCCCTGCGACGTCGCCCGCAAACGCCGCCGAATGAAAACTCATTTCATTAAAATTACTTTTTGTGTTTATTTTTGTTCTTCCCCAACCCCCCACCACCCCCCCCCCCCCCCCACAAAACGTCCGATGAGCACGGTTGGCGACGTACGGCGCGAAAGAAGTTCAACACTCGTACGACGTTTGACGACCGCCGGCGGTGCGGACTGGGACGGCGTGACGGTGAGCGCTACGCAGCGCCCGCTGCGAGAGGACGCGCGTCGCGGCCTCGGGAATAACCCCAAAAACCACCTCGACACCCTCCACTGGCCCGGCTCGCTCAGCACGAGGGCGCGCCCAGACACAGACCGGGTTAGCTCGGCTCATGACTGCCCACGTGCTCGATGACAGCTCGTGTATTTGTTTTTTTGTTGTTTGTCACGGTTGCTGAGCGCAGGCCCCAGGGGCCCCGAAAAAAATGCCAAGCGGCCAACAACAATCAGCGACTGCTTGAGGCACGATCGGTAATCATAATAATAATAGGCAACGGCGCTTTGTGGATTCCGGCAAGGCTGTTGTGAGACCTGGGGAGGAGAGACGATGGGGTGAAATTGCAAAAGTGGAGCAGTGCGAGGAGAGAACCAGAAAGGGAATATGTTGTGAACTGCAGTGTGGTGGTGATTGAACAGCGTGGTGAGTGGGTGAGCGAGTGGCTGTGTTGTTGTGACTTGCAGTGTGGCGGTGGGTGAACAGCGTGGTGAGTGGGTGGGTGAATGGGTGAGCGAGTGGCTGTGTTGTTGTGACCTGCAGTGTGGTGGTGGGTGAATAGCGTGGTGAGTGGGTGGGTGAGTGGGTGAGCGAGTGGCTGTGTTGTTGTGACCTGCAGTGTGGTGGTGGGTGACCAGCGTGGTGAGTGGGTGAGTGAGTGACCATGTTGTTGTGACCTGCAGTGTGGTGGTGGGTGAACAGCGTGGTGAGTGGGTGAGTGAGTGGCTGTGTTGTTGTGACCTGCAGTCTGGTGGTGATTGAACAGCGTGGCGAGTGGATGAGCGAGTGGCTGTGTTGTTGTGACCTGCAGTGTGATGGTGGGTGAACAGTGTGGTGAGTGGATGAGCCAGTGGCTGTGTTGTGACCTGCAGTGTGGTGGTGGGTGAACAGCGTGGTGAGTGGGTGAGCGAGTGGCTGTGTTGTAGTGACCTGCAGTGTGGCGGTGGGTGAACAGCATGGTGAGTGGATGAGCGAGTGGCTGTGTTG